AAAGTGGAGACCGAGAGATGCAGCGAATCATTAGAGAAGACTGAGAACCAAGATATACAGAGGGAAGCTAGGTGAGGAAGGAAACAAAGTAAATAAAGAGCTTCAAGAACAATCAAAAGGCCAACAGTGTCCTCTGTAATAGATGTCATTGGTGAGAACCGTTTTAGTGGTGTGGCAGGGCAGAAGCCATACTGCTTTTATGCATGTAAATTTGCATAGAACTGAGATGGAAATCTGTAAGATCTCCAGAAGACAAAGGGGGAAAACAATAGGAAAGAAAACAGATTCAAAAGAACTGTACATACAAACATATGGGAAATATTCAAGCCCAGTATTCAAAAGGTGGAAATTAAAAATATAATCTAAATTTAAAACAACTTAAAAACGCAATGTTTATAGACTTCTGTTTCTGGCCAACATGGAATAACAGGGACAATGGCAACAACAACAACAAAGACAGACAAAATACATGAAACAATCGTTCTAAGACCCTGGATATCAGATGACAAAGGACAGTCATCCCTGGGAGATGGAAGATCAACGAGGTAAGCCTTCTGATTGCCCCAGTTTATTGCCTTGAGAGGGTTTCCAGTTTACAGCAGAGGAAGGAGAAACTGAGGTGGAGCCCAGCAGACTTCCTGAGTCAAGGATGGAGCTGAGAATCTGGGGAAAGCAAAGCAGCTGGAGTTCATAGGACAGACCACCAGAGAGGACAGGTCTGCAGAGGGTCTCCCACGAGTACTCAAGAGCACAGAGCAGCACATATGTGTGAGGAAACTCCACAAGGCCAGGGAAGGAATCCTCTAAAGGGTTGGAGGGAATAGTCCTGATATTTGCATGGGGAATACTGCCTGTTACTACTAGCCAGACTGGAAAACTCTTGTAATTCCTGGAACATTGGGAGTGGAACTATTTATGTAAAGCACTGAAAGGAAAATTAACTACTTAGAATTCTAAATTCAGCAAAAATATATTTCAACAACAAAGACAAGACAACAGAATGGGAGAAAATATTTGGAAATTATATATCTGATAAGGGTTTAATATATATAGGATATATAAGTATATATGTGCTTATACATAGAATATGTAAAGAACTACAACTCAATAACAAAAACACAAACTATCCAATTTAAAAATGGGCAAAGGACTTGAACAGACATTTCTCCAAGGAGGATATGCAAATGGCTACTAAATACATGAAAATAATACAAATCAAAATACAATGAAATATGACTTCACACCAACTAGGATGGCTATAATAATTTAAAAAATGGAATAACAAGTTTTGGCAAGCATGTGGGGAAATTGGAACTCAGCATCACAACTCACAGTGATGCTGCCACTGTGGAAAACAGTTTTGTGGGTCCTCAAAAAGCTAAACATGCAATTACCATATGACCCAGGACTTCCACTTCTAGGTATAGACCGGAAGGAATTGAAAGCAGGGACACGAGCAGGTACTTGTATGCCAGTGTTCACAGGAGCACTGTGCACAAGAGCCAGTAGATGGAAACAACCCCGGGGTCCATCAGCAGATGAAGGGACAAACAGAATGTGGTCTCTTCATACAATGGAATATTTGGCCGTTAGAAGGAATGAAGTTCTGATTCATGCTACAGCATGGATGAACCTTGAAGACATGATGTGGAGTCACGTAAGCTAGATAAAAAAGGACAAATATTGTATGATTCCATTTATATGAATTTTCTAGAATTGGCAAATTCAGAGAGACAAAGGAGATTAGAGGTTATTGGAGTCTGAGGGGATGCAGGAATAGGGAGTTTGGTTAATGTTTCAGAGTTTCCGTTGGGGTGATGAGAAAGTTTTGGAATTATTAGTGATGGTTGTACAATATTGTGAATGTAATTAATGCCACTGAATTGTACACGTAACAATAAGATAGCAAATTTTGTTAATTTTTTTACTACAATTTTAAAGACTGATAATGTAATTGCCAAAAACCATTGGATTGTATACTTTGAGTGGATGAATTGTATGGTATGTGAATTATATCTTAGTAAAGCTGTTTAGAAAAGGCAAAATGAAGACATTTTCAGACTTAAAAAGCTGAAAGAATTCATTACCAGCAGACCCACATTGCAGGAAATGTTAAGAGATGGCCTTCAGGGCGAAAGGAAATGAAACCAAGTGGAAATCTGGATCTACAGGAAAGAATGAAAAGCAGTGGCAATGGTAACTATGTAGGTAAATATATGATATTTTTCTTTATTATTTAAGTATCTTTGACAGATAATTGATCGTGTATTGGTTTCCTATTGCTGTGTAACAAACTATCACAAACTTAGTAGCTTCAAAAGCACCCACTTACTGGCTCACAGTTCTGTAGGTGGAAGTCTGACCCTCTGTGGCTGGGTTTTCTGCTCAGATATCCAACAGCTGCTTTCAAGGTGTTGGCTGGCCTGGGTTCTCATTTGGAGGCTCTGATTGTTGGCAGAATTCAGTTACTTGTGGCTGTGGGACTATGATAGGACTGGCTGTCAGCTGGGTGTTGCTCTTAGCTCCCAGAGACTGCCCCCATTCCTTGCCATGTGACACCATCCACCTGCAGGCCAGTAACGGCACATCACATGTTTCTTGTGCTTCTAATCTCTGACTTCCCTTCTCTGATCAGCTGGAGAAAACACTTTTTTCTTATCTGTAAAGTAAGGGTGTTAGATCAAGGCAGGTTTTGTGTCTTGGTTTGTTTTTCTCAAAAAAGAGGATTTGTAGCAGCCGAACCATTAAGTTAAAAATGAAATTTTGCATGGAACTCTAGAGACTAAGGGGAAAATGGCAATCTACATAGTTCTTCATACTCCCGGGAATTTCAGGCATTGTAGATATATTTGTGGACTATCTCTGATGTTCCTCTTTGTGTGGTGGGTGTTTGCATTATACCCAGCTGGGTGTGAGGGAGTCTAGGTTGATGATTTATGAAGCCTCCCTGTCACAGCAGACTTTCTTCATTTTCTTTCTTTTCTCCAGCTTCATCTTCTCAGGATCTCCATTACTCAAAAAAGCATCATCAAAAACGAGGGCATGGAAGCCGAGTCGCTAACTGCCAGGTCCCATGTAAGTTGGGCTGCCTTCTTTGTTTTCCAACTGAGAATCCCTTTTAGCTTAAGTTCTGGAGTTCCTTTGCCTAGGAACTTCAGAAATTATATCTTGGACACTCTCCTCTGGGAGACTAGCACTCTTTTGTTTGCTTTATTTGTACATGTAGTTTTATTCATGTACTCTACACTATTCATATACCTTTTATATAAAAGAAATGCAGGTTTAACAGTGGGCAGGAGTCAAGTGGGGTAATATTAAGCACTCCGTTAAAATGCTTTGATCCACACTAGGGAATGAAGTCCACAGCACACTTCCTCCCTAAAAAATTAGGTGGGAACTGGGAATGTTGTGCCTTGAGGGTCTCTCTGGTTCCTGGTTGTCCTAGATGTGGAGCTGGCTATGTGATGCCTCCATGGGGAGCTCAGGCACAAGTTATGTACTTATTTAGGGGTAGCTGCCACCCAGGCATGAGGAGCTTGGAGGAGGGTGGAACCTCTGGGAGCATCCAGGGTGGGAGACTGGGTCCCGTGTGGGTCCAGCTTCCCCTGGAGCATCCTGTATGTATTACCTCTGGTATATTGAAAATCCGACCAGAAAGTGTTGTGGTTTTTGCTTTCAGCTGTGCTACATATTTTGAAGGACCTAAGAAAACTAGTCTATTATATTTACCCAGATATTTACTGTTTTTGTTGCTCATCCTTCATTCCTGAGATTTAAAGTTTCTCTTTGGTAACATTTCCCTTTTGCTTGAATAACTACTTTTAATATGTCTTTTAGAGCAGGTTTGCTGGTAACAAATTCTTTTACTTTATTTTAGAGTATATTTTGCATCATTCCTGAAATATGTTTTCACTGGATATAGAAATGGCTTGACAGTTCTTTTTTTCAGTATTAAAAAAACCATTATTCCCTTGTCTGACCTTCATGGTCTTTGAGGGGAAAAATCCTCATTGAAGTTAAGTGTTTCTTTGTGTAATCAGCATTTCTTTTTGATGTAGCTAATGAAGGCCTTGCTTCTGTATCTATTGTTTGTCAAATTACTTTGTTACTATTAAAATAGAATCTCCATTTTAAAAAAAATGCTATTCAATGTTTAACAAAAATGTCTTGGATAATTATTTTAGATCAGAAAACATGGTGAGGTTGGTCTCTCTTTTTTTTTTAAAGATTTATTTATTTTAGAGAGTGCATGTGCGAGTGGGGGGAGGACAGAGGGAGAGGGAAAAGGAGAGAAACAGACGTCCCACTGAGTGTGGAGCCCGACACGGGGCTCGATCTCACGACCCTGAGATCATGACCTGAGCCAAAACCAAGAGTTGGACACTTAATGTACTGAGCCACCCAGGCGCCCTGACGTTAGTCTCTTTGGCATTAAGTTGTACTTGGACTGAAGACTGTTTTTTTCTGCCTTGAATTAGGTTCTTTATTTCACAGAATATAAGTGTAGATTAACTTTGGTGTCTGATACTCCTTGCTATAGCTGTTCATAACAAACTTGATTTAAATAAAAGTTCTTTTCGGGCCCCTGGGTGGCTCAGTCACTTGGGTGTCTGACTCTTGGTTTCGGCTCAGGTCGTGATCTCAGGGTCCTGGCATCGAGCCGCTTGTTGGGCTCTGTGCTCAGTGGGGAGTCTTCTTAAGGATTATCTCTTTTTCTCTCTCCCCCTGCCCCTTCCCCCTAAAATAAACAAACAAACAAACAGATGTTCTTCTGACAGTTTCTAAACCTAGAGCATAACATAGAACTGCTTTTTGGACATTCCTTTTAGGACTTAACCAGAACCCAAATAAGTACTACTCACTTTTGGAATAAATTCTGGTCCATCCTCTTTTCCTACCCCAAGGCTGTCTGCCTAATCTCTCTTTCTGTCAGTACTCAAGAAGAGGAGGGCAGAGATATACATCTGGCTTACTATAGATTTGTTCCATGTTGTAGACACTGGTGACCTTCAAGGATATACTTGTGAACTTCACCAGAGAGGAGTGGAAGCTGCTGGATACTGCTCAGCAGATCATGTATAAAGATGTGATGCTGGAGAACTATAAGAACCTGATTTCCTTGGGTAAGACTAACTTCTGTTCTCAGAGATATCCCCCTGTGATGATTTTGGTTCTTTATTGATCAAAGGTATGGAGAATGAAGCACATATATCAGAGTGTGAGCTTGGGATTAGGGACCTAATTTCTTTGGGGCATAGAAGAGGATTTTGTACTCACTTCTGTTTTTGGGAAAAAAAATTTTTTTGTTTTGATTTGTTGAATTTTAAAAACATGCATATTTTGCTGCCTCTGTAGCCTCCCCTTGTCTACTCTTCAGAGTCCCCCCAGGACTAAGAAGGGTTTGGGGGTTGGGGCTGAATCTGGGATGGTCTTTGTGTCCAGCCCAGAGTTCCCCAACCCCTGTCCAGTTCTTTATCTTTTGCTGCACACAGGGCATCAGCTTCCCAAACCAGATGTGATCCTCCAGTTGGAGAAAGGGGAAGAGCCATGGCTGGTGGAGAGAGGGATTCACCGGGAGACCCATCCAGGTGAGTACCAGTCAAGAGACATTGTAGGCAGTAACCCAGATGAACTGTTAGGGGCTGGAATACCTGGACATAGTGGTCACTAGTTCTCCTCATTTCTATAGAGAAGACTGAGTTTATTTACCTTCTATTTCCCCGTGACCAGTCTTTCTACAGTCTTATCACATCATTTGCATTCGGAGACAAAGATGTGTTCTTCATGAAAATTATCTTTCTGTTGATGTACTTGTTTCAGCTCTGTTGGTCTTGCTTTCCTGATTCTTACACTGATTCTAGCGTCCCCATTCTCTTATTTGTCATACAGTCTTTTCTTTCCTCCTTGCCTGCCTTTTCCCTTTTCTGTGGCCCCTTCTTGTGGCTTCGTGCTATATATAAGCCATGCAGTGGGGCTCGGTAACCCACCACTCTTCTGAGTTTGCAGAGGGCTTGCCAGTTCCTGCTGGCTGAACTCCTTTCTCTCTAGAACTGCTGCTCCCAAAACACCTTTTTCTTACTCTATTCTAGCTCTTTATTTCATGTTTTCTCAATTTATTCCTATTTTATTTTCATCTTAATATCTCTAAAATGCAAATCATTATGTGGATTCCGAACATCATGCCTTTCCCCAACTTCCCTGTGCATTGAAAATCTGCTTTCTAGGTTAAGAAACAGAAGGTTGAAGGGGCACCTACGTGGCTCAGTTGGTACAGCATCTGACTTCAGCTCAGGTCATGATCTCAGGGTCTTGGGACTGAGCCCCACATCGGGCTCCCTGCTCAGTGGGGTGTCTCCTTCTCCCTCTGCCCTTCCCCCCTCTTTGTCTGTCTGTCTCTCAAATAAATAAATAAAATCTCTCTTAAAAAAAAAATAGAAAATTGTTTTTCTTCTTCTTCCTTTATTCTATAGAAGCAGTCTTTTCCCTGACCTGTGTTTGTAAGTGCAGTCCTCTGGCATCTTCCTCCCCACCCATCTTGGGTGCTGCTGTCTGAGGCGTACTGCAGATAGCCTCCTTGGTGTGTGGTGAGGCATGTGACTCCACATGACTGCAGTGTGGCCTAGTCATGCTGTGAGGACCTGTGTTGCCTCTGTCTGATCCCCATTGTCCACATGTATCCGGTGCTTCCCTGCATCTCGAGCTTTGAGTGATGTGAATAAAATCTGTCAGTCTTAGTTGTCCTCTGTGAAACTTCTTATGACTCGTCATCAAGTACAGGTCCCTTCCTTTTCTGAACTTCCACTTTAAGTGTACTTTTAAATATCATAAACTGTTTTTTACTTGTTTTACATGTGGTCTTATAGGTGACTGCCTCAGTTTTCTCCTCAAAGACAAGTCCTTCAATACACCGTTAAGAACTTGATCAGCCAGCTGCTTTGGTGCCTTGGGAAGAAAGATTGTTTTGTTTTCTTTCATTTCTCCATTATTTCCTTTATTTTTTTCATTCCTGTGTTCATTCATGTAGGAAGCTTTCCTAGATGTCTCTTGACGACTATCTAAAACTAACTAGATCAACAGTTTAGATTTTTATTGAGAATTTGTTGTCAAAAGAAATACTGAAGTTCCATGTGCTTAAACACATGGCTGTGTGAGCTTCATGATCGAAGTGGAAAGTATAATGAGTGGATCTAAAAATGCAAATGGGGGTCACCTGCCTGGCTCAGTTGGTGGAATGTGTGACTCTTAATCTTGGGGTTGTAGGTTCAAGCCCCACAGTGGGTGTAGAGGTTACTTAAATGAAATAAAATCTCTAAAAAGAATGCAGATGATGAGTTGATGAATGGATGTTATATGTTTTAAGTATAACTCACTTGAGTGTTGTGTTACATAATACATGGACAATTTTAAAATTTTGATGAGGGAAAGCACCCTATTCATATGTTCAAACACGCCACTCACGGTTGTTCTCCTTTGGTACCCAGCCGTCACTTTTCCTCACACATGTTCATTTTAGAATTTTCCAGTTGGCATTTGTGGTTTGAAAAACTCTCCATGGGATTTTGATGCCTTGGGTGGAGGGGAGGAGAGGGAAAATATGGTGCATTTCCTGTCAGAAATCATGATGGCAGCACACACACACACACACACAGACACAAAATAGGCTGGTATTCAGCCTTAAAAAGGAAGGAAATTCTGCCGTCTGCTACAACATGGATCAACATTGAGGATATCATTTAGAGAAATAAGCCAGACACAAAAGAACAAGTAATGTATGATTCCTGTACATGAAGTTACTTAAAATCGTCAAAATCATAAAGATATAGCATAATGGTGCTTAGCAGGTACTGGTGGGAGGGGAGAACGGGGCCTTACTTTTTAAGAGGTACCAAGTTTCAGTTCTGCAGATGAGAAGAGGTATGGGGATGGCCACACACCTATGTGAATGTATGGAGTACCTGAGGTGTGCCCTTAAAAATGGTTAAGATGGTAAATTTTATGTTATGCCTAGTCTACCACAATTTAAGACAGAAAAAAGGGGCGCCTGGGTGGCTCAGTTGGTTGAGCATCCAACTCTCGATTTTGGCTCCAGTTATGATCTCAGGATTGTGGTATTGACCCCTGTGTCCAGCTCTGTGCTTAGCAGAGAGTCTGCTTGGGATTCTCTCTCTGCCTCTCCATCTGCCCCCCCCAATATATAAATCTTTGAAAAACATTTAAAATTAAAACAGAAGAAGAGATCAGGGTGGGGAAAAAGCTAGTGACTGACACAATAGTGAAAGAGGATTGGGAATGGTGGGGTTCCCACAAAGAAGGTGGCAGTTAGGAGCCTGGCACGGGGATCATTGTCAGGTGAATTACTTTCCTGGTGCTGCCGAGATAAAGTTCCACAAACTGGGTGACATAAGTGTGCCCTCTTAAAGCTCCGGAGGTCACAAGTCTGAGATCAAGGTGTCAGCAGGGCCATAGGCCCTCTGTAGCCCCTAGGAGAGGACCCTTCCTTGCCTCTCGTGGCTCTGGTAGTCCCAGGTGTTCCATGGCTTCTGAGCACATCATTCCCGTCAGCGCCCACCTTCACATGGCTTCCCCGCGTGTCTTTGTGTCTCTTCTCCTCCTGTAAGGATACCAGTCATCTTGGATTGGGGGCCCAGTCTGTACCAGTACAACTTCATTTAATGACATCTGCAATGATCCTGTTTCCAAATAAGGTTGCATTCTGAGATATTGGAGGTTAGGACTTCAGTGTATCTTATTTGGGGCACACAATTCAACCCATACACCAGATAAGAATAGAGTATCACCTCACTTGTGTAGGGAGAGGTGGTACTTTGTAAATAGTGTTTTTTGGGGATGCCTGGCTGGCTCAGTCGATAGAGCATGCAGCTCTTGATGTCGGGGTTGTGAGTTCAAGCTGCACATTAGGCATAGAGATCACTTTTAAAAATACGGCTTTTTTTTTTTTCTCCCCATAGGTTAAGAACCTAACATTTTGAGCGCCTGGGTGGCTCAGTCAGTTAAGCATCTGCCTTCAGTTCAGGTCATGATCCCAGGGGCCTGGGATTGAGTCTTGCATCGGGCCCCCTGCTCTGTGGGGAGTCTGCTTCTTCCTCTCCCTCTCGCTCCCCCTGCTTGTGTGTGTGCATGCTCACTCTCTGTCCAATAAATAAAATCTTTAAGAAAAAAAAAAAAACCTAACATTTTACCTAAAAGGCATTGAGAGACAAACAGGCTTTTAACCAGGGGAAATAATGTACAGTAATACACACAGATATAAGCAAAGGAGCAAAAAAGTGCAGGAGAATATGAGTTAGGGGCCAGGTTGTGAGTTAGTGTCCCATGGTATGAGTCCTATCAGTTGTTAAGTCCTTTTTTTTTTTTTTTTTTTAAGATTTTATTTCTTTGGGACAGAGAAAGAGAGAACATGAGTAGGGGGAGGGGCAGAGGGAGAAACAGGCCCCCCGCTGAGCAGGGCTCGGTCCTAGGACCCTGAGATCATGACCAGAGCTGAAGGCAGACGCTTAACTGACTGAGCCACCCAGGCGTCCCAATTGTTAAGTCATGGTGTCTCAGAACAAAGGAATCAAAATACAAGACCAGGAGAATATTAATAATGATTACTGTGGTATTGCTTTGACCACACGTGTCAGAGTTTGTAATGAGCTCACACCTTACAACACTTAACAAGAATCTTACACCACAAATACTGTTGTCTCTTGGATTACAGATAAGCAAAGTGATATTTGAAAAGTTTAACAACTTGTCTAAATTCACTACTAGTAGCATTAAAGCTTTGATTTAGAACCTGTATCTGGATAACTTGTGTCCAGTTGCTTTTCCAGCCTGTCACATGGCCTTTCTGAGAGGTTCGTGTGCCAGTTATCTGGGCATTACTCTGTAGTGCTTTGGTGGTGTCAAGAACAGGCACTGTCTTGGCATATAGTTGGACTCATGTATTAGGAATGTGAAATTGGCTGTAGTTGGGAAGAATGCATGTCAGGAGAAGGCCCTGGCAACAAGTAGACATGTTAGGTTCTTGTGTCATTAGTAGATTAGATCATGGGAGTGTAGGCCTTTCTGTGAGATTTCTCTTATTGCCCCCCAGCACTGACTGTCCGATCCCATGTGTCCTACCCAGTCCTGTGTCTTCTAGCCCTCATTGCTCCTCTTACCTACTGCACAGCCCAGTGCCTTGCCTGTTTGCTGTTCTTCTCTGCCCTTTCTCACTGTCCATGAAGGCAGCCATACAAGCAGCTCTACACAGCCTATATACTTGTTTCCACATCCCACCATTCAGACCTTAATATGTTTTTTTTTAACTTACACAAAAGTTTCTCTCTCTCTTTTTTTTTTCAGATTTGGAGACTGCAGTTGAAATTAAATCATCAATTTCCAGTAAGAGCATTTCTAAAAATAAACAATCCTATGGCATTAAAATGGAAGGAATTGCAAAGAACGATCTCTGGTATTTGTCATTAGAAGAAGTCTGGAAATGTGAAGACCAGTTGGACAAGTATCAGGAAAACCAGGAGAGACATTTGAGGCAAGTGGCATTCACCCAGAAGAAAGTACTTACTCAGGAGAGAGTCTGTGAAAATGGTAAATATGGGGGAAACTGTCTTCTTCCTACTCAGCTGGTACTGAGAGAGTATTTCCATAAACATGACTCACATACTAAAAATTTAAAACATAATTTAGTTTTTAGTGGTCATCAGGAAAGCTATGCAAGTAGCAGTGAATGTGGTCCAACCTTCTGTCAAAACATTCACCTTATTCAGTTTGCAAGAACCCAGCCAGGAGATAAGTCCTACAAATGCCCTGATCCTGTTAACTCTCTTACTGGTGGTACATCCCTTGGTATATCAAAGGGTATACATAGGGAGAAACCCTATGAATGTAAGGAGTGTGGAAAATTCTTCAGCTGGCGCTCTAATCTTACCAGGCATCGGCTTATTCATACTGGAGAAAAACCCTATGAGTGTAAAGAATGTGGAAAATCTTTCAGCCGGAGTTCTCACCTCATTGGACATCAGAAGACTCACACTGGTGAAGAACCCTATGAATGTAAAGAGTGTGGAAAGTCCTTCAGCTGGTTTTCTCACCTTGTCACACATCAGAGAACTCACACAGGAGACAAACTGTACACATGTAGCCAGTGTGGGAAATCTTTTGTTCACAGCTCCAGGCTTATTAGGCACCAGAGAACTCATACTGGAGAGAAACCCTATGAATGTCCTGAGTGTGGGAAGTCTTTCAGACAGAGCACACATCTCATTCTGCATCAGAGAACTCATGTGAGAGTAAGGCCCTATGAGTGTAACGAGTGTGGGAAATCTTATAGCCAGAGATCTCACCTTGTGGTGCACCACAGAACTCACACCGGACTGAAGCCCTTCGAATGTAAAGACTGTGGAAAATGCTTCAGTCGAAGCTCTCACCTGTTCTCCCATCAGAGAACCCACACTGGAGAGAAACCATATGAATGCCATGATTGCGGGAAATCCTTCAGCCAGAGTTCTGCCCTCATTGTGCATCAGAGAATTCATACTGGAGAGAAGCCATATGAATGTTGCCAATGTGGAAGAGCCTTCATCCGGAAGAATGACCTTATTAAGCACCAGAGGGTTCATGTTGGGGAAAACACCTATAAGTGTAATCAGTGTGGGATTATCTTCAGCCAGAACTCTCCACTGATTGTACATCAAATAGCCCACACTGGAGAACAGTTCTCAACATGTAACCAGTGTGGGACAGCGCTTGTCAATAGCCCTAACCTTATTCGATACCAGACCAATCATATTAGAGGAAATACTTATTAATATAGTGAATATGGAGAGTTCTGTACAAAGAGCAGTAACTTTCTTTTGCATTGGAAACTCCTTCTGGGGAGAAGCTGTGTAGATGTAATCTGTGCAGAAATGCTTTCAGTCTTGTTACTACCCTTTTGTGCACTAGAGAACTGGTCCTAGAAGGGAAAATAACCCAAGATTTCATTTTAGTACACAAATACATCAGCTTTTCTTTCCACAAATTCCTACAAAAGCAGTCGTCCTCGGAGCATTCTTGACCAAGCCTTAAAATGCTAAAATCTGAGAAGTAGGTGAGTTGTTGGGAGATTATCCAACTTTGTTACCTTCTTCAAAAAAATAGAGTTGCTACTGCAAAGAATAAAAAATTGATACAGTTATTGTAACAAAAGTGGAAAATAGTATTCCAGCGAGTTAATATGCTCCCCCCCTTTTCTTTTTACTTAATTGTCCTTCTGGGACATTTAGTAGTGTTTACTATTTTATGTGTCTGATTTAAGCCACATTTTGGTTAGCAGCAGGGAAAATGCTTATAATGTAATGTAGAAAAATAACATTTACTAGTAATGGTACTTATTTTAAATATATTTGCATGTGGGCAGGAATTGGAAAAGTAACCATGGATAAATGACCAGAAATGATTTGTTAGGTAATGGGATTGAGTTTTATAGTTTATTCCATGTTACTCTGATAATTATTGGAAGATATTTTTAAATATTAAGAAAAGGATATCCAGCTTCTCTATTCTATCATCAAGGACATTCAAGAACCACCTACTAGCAGACTTTCCCATTCTATGTTGTTTAGGGTCATAGTTAGAGTTGCACTCTTTGAGACAGGGTGCTAAAGGCTCCTGGGAATTTAGAAACAGTGATTCTTCGGACATGGGGATCTAGAGGAAGATTAGGTATTTGAGCACACCAGGGAGGGTCCCCATTTGAGTGGGAACAGGTACTTGGGCCATACTTAGAGCAACTATGCTCATGAAATAAACAGCAGTGCCCAAAGCCACCCTCCTTCCAAGGTAGTCCTTTATCTTTATAAAGGAAACATAGTGGTTAAATGCATAAGCTTGAGCTAGACTACCCAAGTTGAAATTCCACCTCTGTCCTTAACTTGCTGAGTGAACTTGGGCATACTGCCTAACCTCTCTGTGCCTAACTTACAGATCTCCGCTTCTTTAAATTAGGGATATTACTTACCTTGTAGGACTGTGGTGGGTATTAAGTGAGTAAACACATAAGCAGTTTAGAATAGTGCCTGATGTATATTAAGTGCTTTATCATTGCTAGCTGTGGTGATTGGTGTGACTGTCGTTGCCTCACCTTGGTGTGTGTCATTGAATTTAAACCTGCCTGAGTGTAAGAGCTCATAGGGCTCTTGCTTCCCTCCCAGCCACATGTTTCCCTCTTCATCAGCACTTAGCCTGAGGAAATCAGTGCCCATATTGGGTATATTGACTCATTTCCGAGGATCAGTAAACAGCTTTTAATATTGTATACGAAATCATCTTGTTTGTACAGAGGTAATATCTTCTAGGGAGAGGAGCCTAATCTTCAGATTCTGTGATAAGTTCATGACCCCCAAAAGATTTAACAATAGAACCTGTTTTGATTCTCTTTCATTCTGTAAATGGATCTCCTGTGTGTAGGGACTAGCCATTATCTGCCATTTGCCAGCAAACAAGATATATGTTAGATGCTTAATGATTGATGGTTGAATGATAAATATTTTTGAGACCAAGAGGACAAAGATCTTGATGTCTCTCTCACAGGAAAAATCTAGAAATGATTGCTAGTGTCATGAGACTTGGGAGCCACAGGGAACGTAAGACCATCTAACTTGTACTCTTCATCATACAGTTGAGATAAGGTGAGTTGGCGCAGGTCTCACATTTTGAGTGAAGTTAGATCCAGAACTAGATCTCTGGTCTCTCAGTTACTACTGCTCTCCTCGGTGCATATATACCAATGACAAATATAATATACTCCTTTTAGAAGGAGTTTTCATGATAAACAGCAGTTCTTTATGGGAGTGGAAGAGTAGCCCCTTAACTTGGCCTCTTAGAGTTTCTGATAACCTATGGCTCAATTGTCCTCAACTGTATAATGGAGGTACTTCTAGTATCTACCTCAGAGGGTTGTTGTGTGGATTAAGTGAGATAATGTGTATAAAGTATTTAAAACAGTGCCTGGCACACAAGTACTATATGTGTTACCTACTACTAATATTACTAATACTAACACACTAAGGAATGTAGGAAGAGAGAAATGTCTATGGATGATCACTAAAACAGTACTTATAATAGCGCAGAATTTGCAGTATAAAATGTATAATATTATGCAGACATTAAAATTATGCAAAGTTAAGAAAAACGTTGATGCTGTCATGTGTGTTGAAGAAAGCATGATAAATAATTGTTAATATGGAGTAAACTCAAATATATAAAAATAAATGAATTGTAAATAAGTGAAAATGAATCTTTCTCAAAACTCTTAAGGAAGTGGCGCCTGGGTGGCTCAGTCGTTAAGCGTCTGCCTTCAGCTCAGGTCATGATCCCGGGGTCCTGGGATCGAGCCCCGCAGGAGCCTGCTTCTCTTTCTCCCACTCCCCCTGCTTGTGTTCCCTCTCTCGCTGTGTCTCTCTCTGTCAAATAAATAAATAAAATCTCTAAAAAAAAAAAAAAAAAGGAAATTTGTCAAAAGATTAATAACAGTTAACCTACTTTCTTTTCTCTTTCTCCTTTCTTCGTTTCTTTTTTGTACTTTTCTATTTTTTCTAAAGTCTCCTCAACAAATATATACTACTTTTAGGATCAGGAAAACAGTCTCTTCAGTAAGGGAATATTTTCTCTTCCAAAGTTTTCATATTCAAATAAACTACTAGAACCTTAATAAGGGAATTTGACAGCAGATAATTCAGAGGTTGCCAGTGGTTTGGGATGGGAGAGCAACTGATAGCAGATGGGACCACAAGGGAACCATTAAGGATGATCTGTGTCTTGAATAGTGGTGGTTGCATGACTCTACTTGTCTGTCAAACTATACATTTGAAGTGGATCCAGTTTGTTGTATGTAAGCTTTACCTCAGTGAAATTGATTTTTTGAAAATATTCAGAAAACCAGGAATTCCTGGGAAATCAGAGAAAATCTGCAGCTCCAAGTGAAAGCTAATAACAATAGTAGTATTTGCTGATTTTATAATTCATCTTCATTTATAGACAGCTTAATACAAGGTAGCCAATCTGCTAAGCCCTTTAATACAATAGGTTATTTCTACCTATAACCCTATGAGGAACATATTCTCGCCCCTATGTTTAAGGAAACTAGAGTTTGGAAATTTTAGGTAATTTGCCCCAGTATACATGGCTAGTGAAGCTTCATATGAAAAGTGACTAGACAGGTGTGTGGCAGATCTCAAGCAAGGTAATGTCTGGGACTTTGTAGAGGATCTTACAAAATTAGCCAGTCCAATATAAAAAATACACACTACCATTGTTATTTATTTTCTCCAGAGACAAATTCATTCAGATCTCCCTTGAATAATGTCCTCTGTCTCCCTCTATAGTATCATGTGTCCTGTCTTAAAATGACGCAGGTACTAAGTAGAAATTAGGGTCTGAATGTAAGAAAGTAAATTACTGTGAAAACAAGTAGTGGCATGTAAGTTATATGCATTCTCTTATTTAGTTTTTACATTAATGCCGTTCATGTATACTACTTCTGTTTTGACTTCACAGTGACTTGCCCCAAGTTGCACAGTAAGAAGTGGAGGAGCCAAAGTTCAAACCCAGATCCCTTTGGCTCCAGCACATGCAGTGTTTCTACTACTGCTTGCTGCCTCCACATCTGGCTAAGGATCCTGGCACTATCCTAAGGGTAATGGGAAACCACAGGAATTTTAAAGGCCCCAGTATCCTCAGTCACCACCGTTATAGGCTCATGGGGATTCAGACAGCATTTTTTTTTTTTAAGATTTTATTTATTGAGAGAGAGCATGTGGGGTGGGGGCAGAGGGGAGGAAGAGAGAAAGGGAGAGAATCTCAAGCAGGGTTTGACACGGTTTGATCCCACGACCCTGAGACCATGACCTGAGCTGAAACCAAGAGTCAGACGCTTAACCGACTGAGCCACTCAGGCACCCCAGAAAGTATTTTCTTAACATTCATCCATGAATTAAGCATACACTGATTAGTCTGTGGAATTGCCCTTCCTGTCAAATGGGAAGAAGGTGAAAATTTTGCTGTTAAATAAATTGCAAGCTGACCATGTACTCAGCGTCTTAGCGGCTGTACAGGAATTGGTTGAAAGAAAGGTGTGTGTAAATAGGTGTTGGTTGAGGTTGGCAAGATATCCCAGCAATGAGACCAATTTAGGAGATAGATGGCAAGGGTCCATAGATTTGTGGCTTCATGGAGTTGGAAAAACCAACTGCTTTTTGCTCTACACATTAGAAATTCAGCCATTAGCTTTAGATATTTTTAATGACAAAGTTCTCTTATCACCACACAGCCCTGTGGAAAAATATTAGATTTAGGATGTGTTACCTTACAAACAAGTTCTACCCTACCTGTTATGGGTAGAATTTTGTGCTCCCAAATTTCATGTGTTGAAGCCATCCCCCATTACCAGAACGTGATCTTACTTGAAGAAAGGGTCTTCATAGAAGTAATCAAGTTAAGTCATTAGTGCAAGCTATAATCCAATATCAACAGTGCACTTATATTTAAAAGGGGGGGGAATATTTGGATACAGAGGTGCACATAGAGGGAAGATGATGTGGGGAGACACAAGGAGAAGGTGGGTCTACAAGTTAAGGACAGAGGCCTGTAACATCCTTCCCTCACAGCCCTCAGAAGAAACCAGTCCCTACCAACAAATTCATTTTGGACCTCTAGCCTCCAGAACTGTAAGACAAATCTCTGTTGTTGAAGCCCACACTGTGGTACTTTGTTACAGGTGACCTAGGAAACAGACATTGCTTTATTTAAAATTGCAGCCACCCCACTGGTACTGCTAATCCCCTT